AAATAAAATAATTCCTTAAAAAAAAAAAAGAAATTGTGTAGCAAAACAAATAGCAATCCAATAAAAATCCAAAAGGAAAAGGGTGGTGACAGAATGAAGAGCTACGGGCCACATCCTAGATTTGTTCCTGAACTTACGTTTTACCACGGCTAGGTCCCTTCTCTCAGAATGAGAGATAAGAACCTCATTCTGGAACAGAAGGGAAGGAATCCTTCCTGAGCTGTGGTACTCTGAGGGACTTAACGCTCTTTTATATCCATCCTTGTCTTCTCCAGTTGCACTGAACTGTGAGCTGGTACCCGAGTCTGGCAGGAGTAGGGGTAGGAGTGGGAGTGAGCTGTTAGGGGTAGATGCTATGTCCCCAGGATAGGGCAGATGCAGCTGGGGTAGGAGGGGCAGGAGAGGCGGCTGCTATTGCTGTGCCCAGGGCTGGTAGTCAGTCCTGCATGGGCCACAGATCACTGTGTGACACAGCCAAACTGACTACTCAGCCACAAGATGTCCACAGAGGGTTGACCTTGCTGCCTGTGGTCACTCAGCAGCCTGGCTGGCCAACCGCAGAGAAGGGTTATATATTTCCTAACCCTCCCTGAGGGAACCTGGCTTCCAGAACAAGACTCCCAAGGTCCAGGGCACACTGTTCTGAGGTTGTCTGGGGGCTTCCTGATAAGACTTGCCCAGCCCAGGCTTCATGCTCCTCCATCTCCATTAACTTTAGCTACGATCCTAAGGCCAGGAGGAAAAATGACCAGCTTAAGGTCACACAGCAAGTAACTGGGATTTATTACTTGTATATCCTTGGACAAGTTATTTAACTTCTCTGGTCTCAGTTGTCCTATCCACAAAGTAGAGGTGCAGTCGTGTGTGTGTATGTATGTGTGTCTGGGCGAAGGTATTAGTAGATAATATGGTGTGCTGAAATTATGAGTTATTTTCACTTTTTCCTTTGGCTTACCTGTATTTTTCTAAGATGTTGTTTTATTATGAATATGTATGTGGTTCGTCACTTGTAATTTTTGTAATGAAGAGAGTAATACTGCAGAGTTGTAAGGATAAAAACTCATGAAAAGCACAGAATGCAATTTCTAGTGCCCAGTGCCTTCTCCATACATGTGAGTTCTCCCTGCCCACCCTTCCTTCCTAAATCTTCTTTCCCTTCTGGTGTTGGAGACTGGCTCCAGACCTCAGTTGGAAGAGGAGATGGTACAATACTCTGATCAGGTATTACGGGTAAATCATTTAACCTCCATGAGTCTCAACTGCAAAACTAACACTTACCTCAAAGCGAGTTTTCAAGGACTACATGACCTGAAGGATAGGAAACCACCTTGCAGTTTATAGTTTATGCCTGGCATAATAGGTTTGCAATAAATGTTTGCGGAAGAACATAATTAAGGAATATAATGAAGGCACTAACCAGAGAGCTAGATTTTAACATGAGGTCCATAGAGTCCCCATGGATAGAATGCAGAGAGTCCATGAACTTGGAGGGGGGGGGGAATTACATCCTTGTTTTCACTAACCTCTAAGTGAAATGTAGCATCGCGTTTTGCTGTACATTTAGGCAAACATCAAACCAAAACAGCCTCCGTGGTAGTATTATTAGTAATACCTGCAACTCAGTCATCAGTAGAAATCACAGATATCTTCATATTACTTTACAGTAGCGACAGCTCAAAATACTGTTTATTTTCATTCACTGCCTCAAAATTATAGTAGACTCATCTCTAGATCCAGTAATTTGGCATTTTTTAAAAAGTATGACTAACTCATGGTTCAATATCATTGGTATTCATTATAATCCTAAAACATTCATTTTTTGCAGTTATAAACATTATTCTGAACAGGGATTTCCAGGCTTCATCGGACTGCCAAAAGGTATCCTTGGCTAGACAGAAAGAGGCACCAGTACTGCCTGGCCATTGATCACTGTGTGATGGTGAGCTTGTTATCTCTCAGGGACACAATCACCCCTACTTGGCTCACCCACAGCGGTGGCTGAGGAACACATTAATTCTTGGTTGGAAAGGATTTTGGAAACTGTTGGAGGCTTCTTCATTTTCCCAAGCGCCACAGCCAAGTGCTTTCTTCCTCCCAGCTGATCTCCAAGCCTCTAGAAGGCCTCTCTCTTTCCCAGAGGGTTCCCCCGCTTTTCTCTCCCCCGATAAAGAAGCCCAGTACACCTTCATTAATTAGCCATCGAACTCCCAGTCTGCAGAGGTCCACAGCTCAAGGGAGGGGTTTCCTGGGAGATAATAGCAGTTTCCTCTAGTTTCATTATTTGACCTTACAGTGGCAGGGCAGACCCAGATCTGACCCCTCTCTGGGGCCCCATTGCCCAGGTCAGCAGCTTGACACACATCAGCATCTGACGAAGGCAAAGAGACCGAGACACAGAGAGAAAAGGCAGGGAATGGTGCACCAGGCTTGAACCCCCATTCCCTGATACCCACAATCCATCTCCCAGGCACGCAGAGCATGGGGTGGAGGAAATGAGGGTGCCCGAAACATCTTTAACTATGTCCCACTGTACCGACTGCTGTAAAATGTAGAGTGCTAAGGCCTGGGAGGAGGTATATAGACCCTAGAGATCACCTAATCCTCTTGGGGTACACGGAGGGAAGCAAGGTTCTGAGAGCCCCCCGACTGTGGTTCTCTGTCCTAGTGAGAACCACACTGGCTTGTGACACGGAAATCGTTTCTGAAAGTGGAGAGGTCTGCTGGCTTTACCTGCCCGTGGGACCGAGGGGTGTCACCATCTGGGGTGATCCACACTCACACGCTCCCCTTGTCCTAGGCCAGTGACAGGGAGTGTGAACACGGGCGTGTGAACGTGCCAGTGCCTGAGGTAGCTCTCAGGGAAAGGAAGAGACAGGCAAGGAACCCAGAAAATAAGGACCTTTAAAAGCCCACTAGCGGAACCAGCAGTTGGCGTAATGGCTATGCCGCTGGACTTCCATATAGTCGACAGCGGTTTGAGTCCCAGACCCAGCGGCTTAAACTCACGCAGGGCGTGTGTGCGTGCGTGCCTAAGATCCCCAGAGGAGAACGAAGAAGGGACTGCGGCGTGGCCATCCCCCTTGGGGGATGATTTCTCGCTTTCTGTCTTTCTGTCTCTCTGTCTCTGTCTTTCTGGCGAGCACACGCGCCCTATAGCAAAAATCTCTCAAAAAAATAAAAAAGCCCACTGGCAAAATGGCACTTTGCGAGCCACATGCAAAGCAAGGAACTGGTAAAGAGATAGACCAGGATTAGGTTGTTTGGGGTTTAAATGACTACTCTCTGGTCCTCAGCTCCTATCCAGAAAATGGGTTTGAACCTTCCCATACTGACCCTACTGTGTGGTTGCTGGCTGCTGGTGAGTGTCTGCGGTAGCCCGGAATTGCCCCGGGAGTCGCTTGAACCCGCTGGTGCTCGGTGCAGGCGAGGAACCCACGCCTGTAGTCTCGAATTCCCGCCCTGTCGCCCTGGTCACGTCCAGGCTCTCCGAGCACCCGGCGCCCTCGTGCGCAAGCTGGGAACTCAGTGGGGCCAGCGAGCGAAGCGCAGGCAGGGACTGGCTCCCCGCTGCTCCCGCGCCTGCCCCGCCGCCGCCCCGGCCCCGCGCCCGCGCTCGGGCCCCGCTCCCTCCTCCCCACGCCGCTCTCCACTCCCTTCGCTCCTCAGCCCTCCTCCTCCCGCTCCCGTCCCTCCCAGCGCGCCCGGGCCCCTACCTGGCCGCGGCTCTGTCCCCGGGGCTTGAAGTCTTAACGCCGCGTCTCCGCGCCGCTCTCGTTTCTGTCTCAGTGTCTCTGCCTCCGTCCTTGTGAGGCTCAGCTCGCGGCCGGTCAGTGCCTCGCTGCCCCGGCCCTCCTCTAGCCGGCCGTCTGGTGGCCCGAGGGGGCGGCGGCGGGACGCGGGGCGCGATGAGCGGCGCCTGCACGAGCTACGTGAGCGCCGAGCAGGAGGTGGTGCGCGGCTTCAGCTGCCCGCGGCCGGGGGGCGAGGCGGCCGCCGTGTTCTGCTGCGGCTTTCGCGACCCCAAGTACTGCTGGGCCGA